TTGGAAGAACATTGTGGAGAAAGGGAATGAAGCTCACCAGGAAGACGCAGAAAGACTGAGAGAGGGTGTAGGTGGCCCAGCTGAAGATGAAGACTAGGAATGTGGTGACATTCTGCACAGCTGTGTAGTTTTTGTGGTAGTGTTCTGGTGCCCCGAGGAGAAAGGGATGGAGATTCTAGCCAGTCTTAGAATCCATGCACGGCTGGAATTGTGCCAAGCACATGTTAGGGAACAGAAAGTGCTGGAGTGAGAGATTGAAATAATCTACCATGTGGTCCAAGCTGGGAAGGGAAGAGAGGACAGGAAAAGGCTGGCAGACCGAGAGAAAATGCAGAGATGTGGGCACTAGACAACTCCATGGTGTGGCAGGAGCACTGTCTAAGGGAGGGTACCTGAGGTCACAGAGTGAGATGTTAGAGTGCATGAGAGAAGCAGCAAAGCAATTCCAGGCGTCAACATCTAGGAATTTAACGTGTGCATAACTGAAGAGAAGTGTCTGGAATGGGAAGGTCCAGAAATTGTGAGTGAAGAGTGCTAGTTTGGTCACTGACATGGGCACTGAAGCCTTTTAGGAAAATGGGGGGAGCTTGAGTGCAGACAAAATGGTTAATGAAGTGCCAAGCTGTTGAAAACAATGGACTTGATGACACTTATTTTGTGCCAGTCATTTTACATATGTCATTTCATAGTATCTTTTTTTTTTTTAAATAAATTTGCAGCACTCAGTCCCCATAGGGACCATCAAAAATTGCCAATGCTGACTACATTGCAAGTTGTCATGGCAGGGTATTGGGAAAAGTTTTCAATTAGCAATAATTGTGCCTCAGATAAACCTCATTGGCTACGATACTGCCACTGCGCAAAGCTTCATATTATCTTAATAACAATCGGCGGTATAGATAAGGAGAGACAGACAAAGTGACTAGACTTGGAGAGCTCAAGGTCAATGGTAAGGTTTCGAGGAGATGATTTGGCTGGAAGGATGCTGAATAGAGAATATAGAGTTACCAGTGAAGGGTCTGATTTTGAATGTGTTGAGTTAGGGATGTTGGCGGAATATCTAGATGGACATGTCCACAGGCATTTATTAGAGAAATAGGGCTAAGGCTTGGCAAAAAGGTTGAGGTTGAAGATATGGGTCTCCATGTTAAAAGTATTAAGTTGATAACTGAGACCAGGGTGTAGCCTGAGAATGGAATGGAATGGAAGAGAGGGGTGCTTTGGTATGTGTTCACATTTGGACAGTGGGGACCAAGAGGAGTCTGAAATTTAAAAAATGTAGGCAATATATTGTGGTAGATTGTAAAAGTGGCCATAAATTGTTCGCAGCTCCTCCCGTCGAGAGGTAAGGCTTATTTCCCCACCCCTTGAATGTGGACTGGCATTTTTTACTTACTTTACCAATACAGTGTGGCAGAGTGATGTTGTGCAAGTTCCAAACCTAGGCTTCAAGAGGCCTTGCAGCTTCTGCCCTCTTACCGGGAGCCCTTCCACCACCATGTGAACAAACCCGAGCTATCCTGCTGGAAGACGAGAGAGCAGGTGGAGAGACGCCCAGCTGTTCCAGCCTTCCCAGCCCAGGCACCAGATACCTGAGCAAGCCCAGCCTGGAAAAGCTGAGCCTGGCTGGTGGGCGCAGATCACAAAAACTGCTTAGCTGAGCCCAGCCGAATTGCTGATCCAAAGAATCTTATGCAAATTTACAGTCGTTATTTAAAGGCATTAAGTCTGTAAGTGATTTATTACATAGTAGTAGATAACTGATAAACATATGGCCCCAGGAGCAAGGGGAAAAACCTAAACAACTTAAATAAACACACTGAGGAGAGGTCAGCTTGGATGGGGACCCGAAGGAACTTGACATTGTTTCCCAGGCTCAAAAACGTGTTGAGGACAGAAGCCAGAGAACAGGGCTGCAAAGTGAAGGTTTGCTACTAATACTAACAGTGGGTACTTGTGAAGTGGGGGGCCAGGATGGGGGTAGCAGAAAACCAGAACTTCATTTTTAATACCTGTGTACCCTATGCATATGTTGCCTATATAATATTTTTAACAACTTTATAGAGGATTGTATAATTTTTTAAACAATTCAATATTTATGTCTTAAAAACCAAGAATTAGAAAATGGGGGTGGGTGGCATGAGCCAGTGGTTTCAGAGGGTAGCCAAACCAGCTGCATCACAGTAACCTGGGAAGTTTTATACAAATATTGAGTCCAGGGTCCTACCCCTGGATATTCTGATTCCGTTAGTTTGGACAAGGGCTAGGGAAGCATTTTTCTCACACAGCTCCCCTGTGTGTTAAGGTTGTCAGGGTGAGAAGAAGAGAGCTCTGAAGACAGAACCCTAGGAAATGTCTTTATTTAAGGGTCTAAAAAGGAGAACACTGATTTTCAAACTGATCTTCTGTGGAAGACTAGGGTTCCCAAAAACATTTACAATATGTATTAATAGGACAGTAACAGGTACCACTTACTGCATGATTACCATGTCCCAGGCAGTATGCTAAGCCCTTTATATTTATTAACTCATTTAATACTCATAACACTTCCCCATTTTACAGATGAAGAAACTGAGGCCCAGAGAGGAGAAATAATTTGTCCAAGGATAGCTAGGTGTAATCAGAATTTGAATCCAGATTGTCTAATTCTAGAATCTTTCTGCTTTTGTTTGTTTGTTTTTGCAGGAAAAAAATTAGTTATTATATAGAGTTAGCACAATTAAAAATTTCTCTCTCATATGTGTATTAGACCTTTGGAATATGTTACCACTTATGCCTACCAGAATCTAGACTGTGAGCTCATCTTGGGGAAGGAATTATGTCTTTTTGCCTCCTTACCTCCAGGGCCCACATAGTTGGCATCCAATACATGTTTGTTGAATAAGCGCATGAATGTGTGATTTGGGATCTGAACACAAACTCGTAGGTTTTGTTATTTTAAGTTTAAGATTTCAATAATGTTAGAGTTCTCCCTACACAGCTGCAGTCCCCAACCCAGGGGCTGCAGGCTGGTACCAGTCTGTGGCCGGTTAGGAACTGGGCTGCACATCACAGCCTGAGCTCTGCCTCCCCCCATCCCCCTACCACCTGTCCGTGGAAAAATTGCCGGGGTTAATATGCCTGCCCCGGGGCGCGAATCGAGAACCAGGTCGTAGAGCTGGTGAACGGGGAAGGGAAGCTTCATCTGTGTTTACAGCTGCTCCCCATCCTAGCATCACCGCCTGAGCTCCGCCTCCCCCCACACCCCCTACACCCGTTGGGGGGAAAAATTGTCTTCCATGAAATCGGCCCCGGGTGCCATAAAGGTTGGGGACCCCTCCATTTTTTCAAAAAGGCAAGTTCATTGAAAATGTGAGGTGGACAGCAGATTGCTAGGGTTGTGCAAGGAAGAGTTGATGAGGAAACAGCAAATTCAGACGATATTTTCCCCCAAAGAAGGCAATGAAAGCTAAAAAACAGGTAGACCAGTTGTACCCATCTTGAGGACGGCGACAGGATGAACTTGAATAGTTTTAGGGGCAGAGGAGATCCCTCGTAAGGAGGGGAGGGCGAAGATGAAGACAGGTGGGGTCAACAGGAAGAGACCCAGGGAGGGTGAGGCGGGGTCCTAGGGGAATTAGCCTCGGGCAGGAGGGACACCTGTTCCTCTGAATCTA